GTGGTGCTCGTCAAACATGCCAAGAAGCAGACTACTGTACTGTGTCCCTGCTTCAGTTCCAGCTCTCCAAAGCTGCCTCTCAGACATCACTGATACATCATTTGCCATTCCTAGTTTTGCAGTAGCCAGTGTTCCCACAGCACTCACGTCAATTCATTAACTATTGAAGTGTGAAACATGCTCACATTGACTTTGTGAATCTGCGTGTCACTTTATTTTAGGGCTATTCTTTGTACCCTGTTTTAGATTTAGACTGTAGTTAACGTCCATCCTCAGGTTTTTCACACTAATTATTCTTGGGCTCCGTTCCTCACAAAGCTCCTGTGAAAGTCACAGTTAGAAGCACGACTTGTCCTGTAGGGCCATAGTATATGTTTTGTGTTTCACCACTGTCTAATCCAGCACCTCCGTTGTGATTTCTACTTTCACAAAATTTAGAAATGATTCATTTGTTAACGCTGGTGATGTTTCCAGTTATCGACCTGATGCAGTAGCTCCCACTGCACTGCAAACGGACTGGTTCTTATATAACGCTTCTCTGCTCTTCTGAGCACTACACAACTTGTGCATTCACCCATTGACACAAGCACATTTTCTAACTAACATTCACACGCATCAGAGAACAATTTGGGGTCAGTATCTTGCTCATGGATATTTGGCATGCAGACTAGGGGAAGCCGGGAATCGAACCACCAACCTTCCAATAAGTAGATAACCTGCACTACTGCCTGAGCTACAGCCACCTGCATGTGAGGCTCACTGGCCAGCTTAAACTGGTAACGGCCAGAGCTACACTGCAGTGGTGTGGACAGTGCTAGAATTCAAGTCCACACCTAGATCCTGTTGTTCTGTGGTGAGGCTTGAAAATTGGGATTCACAGATGACTAAACTGGAGCTATTTTGCAAAGAAGAATGGGCAAAGATTGCATGGAAAAAGTCAATGAATACTTTTTCATTATCCGATTCCTGCGATTCTGTAGGAGTCTTTTTCAGGAAATTGATGCGAGCTCAGTTTTAAACAGCCAATAACAAAATAAGTAAAACTGTTGATTGACATAATGACCTTGGCTTCAATAAAACCAAACAGAAGACAGTTTGTCTCCGCTCTCGATCGTTCATATTCCATTTATCTACAGACAGAGCAAACAGAGCTGTTAGACAATCACTGTTCGATATTTCAATCTCACTGTTTGCTGCCAACATTTTCAACGGCTTTGAAATGGAAAGAAAGAAGAAAAAAGGAGAACAGTGAACAATCCCCCAGCTGCTCATAGATTAAAAAGAAACAAACATTTCTTCTTACTGTCGTTTTATTCACCAGCCAAGTCAGCAGGTTTAACTCCAGAAGACCAGGAGACTCTCAGCGTTCATTCAAAAATGGATCTAGCCACCACTGCTTACTGGTCAGTGGCATCCTGTCTTGTCTCCAACTGAGCACTTTGGATGTTTGTGTTTTAAAACCAGGTCATAAGGTTTTTTTGGAGGTTGTATTCGGTTGCACTGGATTGTTCTGTGATAAGAGAAAACTGTCTGTTCTGTTCCTGCTGGGAAATGAATCCACATTAGGCAGGACGGATGGTGTGATGTTCTTTTAGCTTGTTCAGCACCAGGCCTGCAACCAGTCTTTGCTGTCTGATCCCAAAGACAGAAGCTGCTCCGACAACAGCAACATGTTTGGAAGTTTGAATATTGGTGGAAAAGATCGTCGTGCATAAAGTATCTGAGCTATGAGGTCTGCATGCTTTATTTAAATGAACAGGGTTGGCACTAGATGTTCCTATTCCATACTTTAACAG